AAAAAAAAAAAAAAAAAAAAAAAAGATGAACACCCAAGTCTAGTGCCAGCTTGCCAAAGGTCAGCTCCAGGCTGTCTATTCCAGGCAGCTCAGCTCTGCAGTGCTTGGCAAGGGCTGGCTCCCACAGGGTTACAGGAGACTGCCGTACTTCTGTCCCTTAGTCCTGCTTTGTATGCCTGCGATATCAGGCTTCTGGTGAGTACGGGTTGGCCATGCCTTCGCACAGCCAATCCAGGTAGTAAGTCAACTGCACATGCTGTATGTGATACCACGATCCTACGCTCCCTTGGCCCTGCTGGCCCTGACACCCCACACATGAAGGCAGGTGGTTCTCACACTCTGTGGGGCTGCCATCATGTAGGGGTCTGGAGCAGAGATATTAGTGTCACCTGCTTTCACTTCCAGACTGTCACCAGCTATGTGACCTTAGGCAAAAGTACTTGGATTTTTCAACCACAAAATGGGAGGAAGAGCCACAAGGGGCTGCCGGGAGGAGGATGTGCTGGCGGTGGCTGTGGAACGCTGTGCCGTCCCTGCACGAAGTGTGCAGCTGCTAGTGTCAGAGCTGCTGTCTGCTGTGGGCCTCTCAGTGCCTAGACCCTGCCAGGGGCCTCCAGTGACCACCACTGCAGGTGCAGCTGGCACATGGTGGGAAAAGCCAGCTTGGAGAGGGGCAAGGGACCTCAGAAGAGTGAGGGGGACTCTGGCAAACACAGCTTCTGATCTGAGTGAAGTGAGGGAATCAGGCCAGGTTGGTCCCCTCTGGCAGCTTCCTTGACACTGACAACATGGCCCACACTGAGTGCTCCTCAGTGCCCAGCCCGCATGTTTTCACACCCCAAAACTCAGCTCTCCTTCCCTTAGCCCCGGCTCTTCCCTCCCAAGGAGCTCTGAAGTCTGTCTGTTTCCACCCACAGGACGTCCTCGTTGTCCAGCTGCAGCAGCACTCCTCCTCCCTGCCACAGAACCCCCGCCTCGGTGCTTCTGCCCCACCCCTCCCTGCAGATGCAGCCAGCTTTCTCAAGTGCAAATTGGACTTGAGAATTGGACTTCATCCCTCTGCTCAGAATTTTCCAATGGCTCCAGCTATGCCAGGATCAAGAGCAAACACTCAGCCTAGCCTTGCCAGCTTCCTCCTCACTGATGCCCAGTCTAGCTAGGAGTCTCGGGGTTGTGTCCTAGGGGGCACAGTGGGCATTTGTGGGCATCTTCAGATGGCACAACGTGTAGTGGGCCGCAGACAGGGATGCTGGACATTCCGCCACGAGACAACCACCCCACAGCAAGCAACCGTCCTGCGTCCTTCAGTATTTTCTGCATGGTTTCAACATACCCGGAGACTTCCAGGAACACAGTTCTCAGGAAAATCGAGGGAAGCCTGTTCCTTGTCTTACTTAGAACCTTACTGGAGGGCAGCAACCACTTCAGAAACGAATGGCACCACTGGCCAAAACACTCAAGGGGTCTAGGCTACAAACACCCAGGCTGTGGCTGTCACAGTCACAGTGACTTTGCCCTGCAGCAAACACCTGGCAACTTCATGTCTTCTGGGGTGAGTGAGAGGGCATGCCCAGGCATTTATAAACTGATACATATACTTGTATTCTCTTCCTTTTATGTCTCCTCCATGCAGTGAAAGCATCTGAGTATTTTTGGAATGCTATGTGTAGGTAGGTTACACAGCCCACCAATTGCATTTAAGGAGAGGAACAGTGACAATGTAAAATGTCTATGATGACTAAGGGGTGCTGGGTCTGATGGCACCAAGAACTACTGCTCCCAGCTGACAGGCCTCTGCTATTCCCTGGCAGAGGCCAGGGTCTCCCTTTCCTCCAGGTCTTCCTACAGGCTGTTTCCTTGGCCTGGAGCCCCCTACCTACTTTCATTCAGCCAATAAGTTTCTGCAACCCCTCTTCTGGGAAGCCTTCCTAGGCCCCCACCAAGCCTGACTTAGCTACTCTTTGTCGGTGTCCCCATGGCCCCCGGCTTCCCTCATCAGCACTGGCCTGAGCCAATTCCACGGCCGAGGCCATTTAAAGGAGCCCACATGCCAGTCTAACTTCTCTCTGCTCCTGCCAAGAAAGAAGGCAGGTGACTTACTGCTTTGGGGGCCACATACGATCCTGACAGGGTGCCCACGCCACTGGTTAGGTCAAAGAGGTCACTCAGGCCACTGCCGATGGGTGCTCCAAGGTTGGCTGGTGCTGCTGCTGTTGTAGGTGCCACGAAGTTGGTGCCCCCAATCTGGAAAGGGAAGAAATGAGTCAGAGGCAGCATCAGGGGCAGGGACATCGGGCTGGGAATGAGTAGAGCCACCTGGCTCTTTAGAATACACTGGGGGCTGGGGGCAGGGCAGCCTCCACATCAAGTGTAAGTTACAGAAATCAGACAGAGAGAGGTGGGTGGAGAAGAGAGGCTGAGCCCTCCCATGCCCTGCAAGCCTTGAGCCTTAGGAGTAACCTCTGGGAAAGGGCTGGGGACACTCCCAAATTGACACTCAGCCCATGGATAAAAGGAGGTCCCGAGACACACAGCTGGGTGGAGACATGCTATGCAGACGGGAGCTCTCCCTTCAGGACATCAGAGAGGGTTTGTGGGACTGAGGGCTGGCAATCCCGGGGATGACAAGGCAATGTGTCATGAGTGGTGAGGACTGGGCAAGAATCCATGGCTATAGGGCCCAGTAGCAGCTGGATGCCAGTAGGTCAGGGCAGAGGCTGCCAGGATGCTGGACCAAGGCAGTGGCTCAGCAGGCAGGGCCGCTTTGACATCACCCGCCCCTTGGGATGCTGGGCCGGTGCTTTCGGGAGGAGCAAGGACGAAGGCTTGGTGACGCAAGGGTTGAACCGTACCCCTTCAGGCTCATCCCCCATCTCCAAGCGGAAGCAGGCAGGTGAAGAGAACAGGCAGCCACATGCAGAGAGAAAAGCCAGGAAGGAAGACAGAGAGAGACGAGAGAAGGGAAAGAGGGAAGAGATGAGTCAACTGTAGCTCCATCCGAGAGGAGTGTGGCGTGAGGCTGTGCCGGGGCCTACGAGAGGCCCAGACCTGTCTCTATGAAAGGCACCACCCCCACGCCTTCACCCAACACCCTCCCGTCCTGCACCACAGCCCCTCCTGCCTCACCCTAGCGGCACTGAACACCAGGCTCCTGCCCCCGTGCTGCCCCTGTGGGGACCTGAGCCGAGCACAGCCAAATGAAGAGGCTTAGCCACCCCCAGTTGCCTGAGGACGCCCCAGGGAGATACCCAGGTCAGTCTCACCCCTCCCCTCTCTCCTTGACCACCCATGCTCTCTCAAATAGGCCTGGCTGGGCTGCTATTCCCAGCTGGGGCAGCATGAGGGTAAGTGGATGCAAGTCTGATTCCTCTAAGCCAGGAACACCCTTGCCTTACAGTGCAAAGGTGACTCTGACCCCAGGATCAGGACAAGGGCTAGGATGGGCTCCCTGCCCAGGGTCTCCTGGGACTCCAAGGTCTAACAAGGGAGTGGAATCCTGTCTGCGACTCAGGCTGAGCGACCTCGGAGGGAAGGCTGCCTGGCCTCTCTCAGCCTTGGCCTTCTCATCATAAGTAGGGAGCTCACAATCGCCTCCGAGGGCAGATGGTAAGGACTCAATAGAATGTATCCGAGGCACCTGGCTTGTGCCTGGCCTGGACGCACATTCGGTGACTGCGCCTCTGAAGACCATTATCAACATCATCCAGAGGGCCCACAACATACCAGGCTGTCAAGGCCACCGCCAAGAAGGTCCACAGCTCCCATCTGCACCGAGGAGGTGGCCAGGGGCGGGCCACTAACCGGGGGGCCGAGGTCCAGGTTAAGGAGGTCACCCAGCAGGTCGCCCTGGGCGGGGATGACATCTGGCTGCTCCCCAGGAGGTGCTCCAGCAGGGGCTGTCTCAGGGCTCTCTGTGCTCTCATTCCTGCCAGGACACAGAAGGGAGAGGAGGTCAGTAGAGCAGAAGCATGAGGATGTCTCAGGAAGGTCAAAGAGACCCCAGCCTCCAGGCACCTCCCCCAGCACGGGCACTGGGTCTTTTCACTGTCCCCAACAGGGCTGTCCGCAGGGACCCCCTGCCTTCCCATTCCCACAGCAGAACCATATTTTAGGTCCTCCACGAGGATGAGTGAAGGGAGAGGGCCGCCTGCTTCTACCCCTCAGCCCATGCTAAGGAGAAAACGATGCCACCGCCCTAGGACAGTGCCGCCAGCTCACACCAACCACCTGGGAGCAGTAGAGGAGGAGGTGCAGACAGGGCGCTGGAATGAGACGGAGCTGGTCTGAGTCCCAGCTCTGCTGGCTGTGGGGTCCTGGACCCATCGCTCAAGCTCTCCTTGTCTATTGTTCCCATCTGACGAATGGGGACATTTGCTCTCAGAGCTGTCGTTAGGATGGAATGAGGTCATCTAGCAAATACCTCGTGTACAATAAACATCTGCTAAAAGGTGGTCAGTTTTCCTCAGACCCAGGTCTTGCCGGGGGACAGCACGCCAGGCCCGCGCACCTGTGCTGCTGAACCGGGGAAGCAGGTGGGAGGCTCAGGCCCACGACTGGCCACTCTCACTCACGAGGCAGTGCGGGGTGGCAGGCTCTTGTGCACGACGCCCCGGCCCCCCTCCACAAAGGCACTGGGAGGCTTATGGTACACGGAGGCCAGCGTGCCGATGTAGCAGATGAGCTCGTCCAGCAGCGTGGGCTCGATGAGGTCTGTCTCTTCAGAGATGAGTGGCTTCTCTGCCAGCACCACCTCCTTGGCTGCCACCGGGTCCGTGGAGAGCAGGCGCCAGTAGATGTAGCCACGGTCCCGCAGGTCCGGGTTGTCTGAGTCCTTGAGGGCGTGAGGAGAAGCCCATAAAACTCAGAGCAGGGCAGCCAAGTGAGGAGGAGGAGACCTTCCCGCAGCCCCGTGATCCAGGTGGGGTCGGGGCAGGCCGGTGGGGACAGCAGTCCCGAGTGCTCCCAGGAGCCTGCCCCAACACCGCCCACAGGGCCGTACGCCGGCCCCGGCTCGTTCCCCATGGTGCTCTACCCCAGCCTGGCCACTCCTGTCTCTACTCCCGACCGCCCTCTGTGGCCTGCCCTTCCTATCCCCTATGCACACCCTCAGGTTCCCACGGGCCCTCTTTCTCCCCTCTCTGGTTTGTCTCAACTTCACTACTTGACCTCACTGAACTTGTAATTTGTGTTCTAAGCTCCCTGAAGGCAGGGAGCCAGTCCCACCCTCAAGATACCAGTCTTAGGAGTGGGCCTGACTTCCAGTCTAGTTGCTGGGACAAAAGCTCCCCTGCTTCAGTGAGGGCTGTGCTGGGCATGGCGGGGAGACTGGCACCCACCTGAGTGGCCAAACTGAGGACCTGCTGCACTAGCTCCTGTGTTTCTGTTGGCTTCTTCAGGAAGAGTTTCACAATGGCAGTCAGCAGCTGCAGCTGGACCTGCAGGGAGGGAACAGTGGTGACGAGGAGGACGTGTGGGCTTCACATGGGGACAGCGGGAAACCAAAAAGGCTTGAAGAGGAAAAGGGCGTTCAAAGTCCCTGGAAGCCAAGCACAGCAATTCCAGGTTTGGGGTTGTCACAGCACACAGGCAAAGGGCTGCCATGGGTGTTGGTGCCGCTGACCAGCCAGACTTCAGCCTCACTCACTCAGAAAGGAGCTGAGCAAAGGGCTATCTGGCAAACCCAAGCAGGCTGGGGGCTGTTACCCAACTCTAGGGTTCTAGAAACCTGTCGGAGCTCTAGACGCTACAGCATTATGAGAGGCTTGCATGTGTGGCTGGTATGCTTCTTATCAGGGCCATCTGTCAACAAGTGGTGACAGTACTTGGCCCAGAGAGACTGCCATCAAGGAGCCGTGCTTCTATCAGAGGGTGGGAACCATTCCTGGTGGCCCTCCACCAGCCCCTGCCGCACACCTGGACATCCCTGAAGTTGGCCTCATCCTGGCCAACACCTCCTTGCCCTCCAGATCTCATGCCAACCCTACCTCCAGAACCCCCACGCTTCTGCAGCCTCTTCCACCTCTCACAGCACCACCGGTTGTTGGCTGTCCTGTGCAGTGAGCTCCCTGTGGGCTGGAGTGAAGTCTGTCTGGCTTACTGCTGTGTCACTAGTTACTGCTCGATCTAGTGCCTGCTGTATAGTAGGCACTTCAGAAATACTTGCTGACTATAGAAATATCTACACAAGAACAAGTCTCTACACAAAATCCCTCCTTAGTCATGGCCTCATTTTCGCCAGTCCTAGGACAAGAGGGCAGCCCGAGGCTCCTGGAGTCAGGGGCAGTGCAGGAGCCCACAGGCTGTGCCAGGGACAGGTCTGCGGCAGGAGGGCAGGAGTGGCAGTGCAGGAAGCCCAGCAGCGGCCCAGCCGTGCTGGCGGCATCTCCGGGACCTGCCCAGCAGGAGGGCACTTGTGCAGGGAAGGCTGAAAGTGGCAGGTGGAATGGAGGACAAGTGGCCCTCCAATTCTGGGATGAAGCAGAGTCTTTGCAATTTGGTTACACATGGGCCAACAGCAGTAGGCTGGCTGTTTCCAAGGCAGGAGGCAGCCCAGCATCTGGCTTCTAGACTCTAGCCCCTGCCTGGGTGGCCAATGGGAAGCCATTCATCCCCATCTGTAAAGGAGAGGTGTGGCCTACTTCAGGGATTCTTGTGAGCTTTAAAAACGGCTTGCCTGGAGCTGGAGTCAGAACGTACCTAATTTGAACTCCAGTTCTATCACTTCCCAGCTGGGTGACCCTGGGCAAGTCATTTAGCTTCTCTGAGTCAGTTTCCTAATCTATAAAACAGGCATTACACCTCACAGGGTTAATGGGAAGTTGATGAGACCACAAATGTGAAGCAGTATTATGTATTCTGCTCACTATGAAACAAGTGTCATTATCATAGTCATTATCACCACTACTACCATCACACAGGGACTCTTGAAAAAGCTCTTCCCAACCCAGTCAGCTGGATGCCTGGAATTTTCCTCCCTGTCAGATCTGCTGTGGTTCTGGTCAGATATGCCTCAGGCTATATTGCCAGAGGGTGCTCTGGCCTGGTGCCCAGGGCCCTGCTCAACAATCCATTCCAGTTCCCCTCAACACACTAAGCCATTAGCCTGCATATTTAGGGCAGACTTCCTGCAGTGATGTCATTACCCCGGCTATTCAGACAGGGTACAGCAGGACAGGGCCAGACGCAGGCTGGGCTGATAAACCACCCTGGCCAAGACTTTTTTTTTCAGGCAGAGTATCTCTCTCCTGCCCAAGCTGGAGTGCAGCCGGGTGATCTCAGCTCACTGCAACCTCTGCCTCCTGGGTTCAAGTGATTGTCCTGCCTCAGCCTCCCAGGCAGCTAGGACTATAGGCACACAGCACCATACCCAGCTAATGCTTGTATTTTTAGTAGTGATGAGTTTTCAACATGTTGGCCAGGCTGGTCTCAAACTCCTGACCTCAAGTGATCTGCCCACCTCAGCCTCCCAAAGTGCTGGGATTGCAGGCGTGAGCCACCTCTCCCAGCTGCTGACCAAGACTTTCTAAGTCTGCTATCCATGGCTGGAAAGGCCTAGGAGCCAAGGATGAGGAGGTTCAATGAGACAATCTAAAATGAGTTCCTTAATTGCAAAGCCTGGCACAGTCATGCACACCCATAGTCCTAGCTATTCAGAATCCCTTGAACCCAGGAGTTCAAGGCTAGCCTGGGCAACATAGTAAGACTCCATCTCTAAAAAAACAAAAAACTCCAGATCGTCAAGCACTAAACAAGTATTCTTTCTTTGTGAGACAAGCTCTGTTGCTCAGGCTAGAGTGCAGTGGTGTGATCTTGGCTCACTGCAGCCTCAACCTCCCAAGCTCAAACGATCCTCCCTGCTAGGCCTCCAAGTAGCTGGGACTACAGGTGTGTGCTACCACACCCAGCTAATTTTAACAGAGATGAGGTATCACTATGGTGCCCAGGTTGGTCTCGAACTCCTGGACTCAAAGGTACCCCCTGCCTCGGCCTCCCACAGTGCTGGGGTTACAGGCCTGAGCTGCTGTACCCAGTTAACAAGTTTTTTTTTTTTTTGAGATGGAGTCTCGCTCTGTTGCCCAGGCTGGAGTGCAGTGGTGCCATCTTGGCTCACTGCAACCTCCACCTCCCCAGTTCAAGCAATTCTCCTACCTCAGCCACCTGAGTAGCTGGGATTACAGGTGCATGCCACCACACCTGGCTAATTTTTGTATTTTTAGTAGAGACAAGGTTTCATCATGATCAGCTGCAGGTGCATAATTGCCCTCTACTCGGGGAGTCAGCAACCAGGTAAATTACCCTCTAGTGATGTTTCTTCAAGATCTGTCATTTAATCTATACCTAATAAATGTGAGTATCGCTGGCTGATTGGGGCCTTGGCTGTGACTCTCTGCAGCACTTTTCTTGGTGTTTGTGAGTGGCCCAGGCCCTCAGCCAGACTGACAGGCAAAAAAAAAAAAAAAAAAAGGTTAGGCTAATCTTGTTGGTTAAGCTAGTCTCGAACTCCTGACCTCAAAGTGATCCACCCACCTCAGCCTCCCAAAGTGCTAGGATTACAGGCATGAGCCACCACTCCTGACCCTAATAAGTATCATTAAAAGAGCTTTAAACTGTGTCGTGAACAAAAGACGCAAAGTGAACAGGCTACTGAATTACGTCACACCCTCACAGATGTCGTTTACTGAGTGTTGGAGTGGGCACTTTACACACAATGTCCAACAGTCTTTGCAATCACTCTGTACTAGAGACAAGGAAATGGGCTTGGTGAGTTCAAGTAACTGTGCTCCAGGCCACACAACAGGGAGGAGCCTGGATCTCAAACTTTCAAGCTCTGTTTCTGTTCACAGCACCAGACTCCTGGCTTACCCCTCCCTGTCCAGCTTCTCCCACCCTGGCTTTTCAGCAGGCTTAGCTGCAAAAGACTGACCTACTACGTGGGGCAGAAGCACACCCCTACAGCAGCGGTTCCCAACCTTTGTGGCACCAGGGACCAGTTTTGTGGAAGACATTTCCACAGATGGGAGATGGGGACGGTGGGGATGGTTTCAGGATGAAACTGCTCCACCCCAATCATCAGGCATTAGAGTCTCATGAGGAAGGCACAACCTAGATCCCTCCCATGTGCAGTTCATAATAGGGTGTGCGCTCCTATGAGAATCTAATGCCGCTGCTGATCTGACAGCAGGCGGAGCTGAGGCGGTAATGCTTGCTTGCCCACTGCTCACTTCCCACTGTGCAGCCCAGTTCTTTACAGGCCACGGTACTGGGTACCGGTCTGTGGCTCAGGGGTTGGGGATTCCTGCCCTACAGGACATCCTCACAGTGATCCCAGGCAGGACTTGACTGCAGCGGCAGAACCCAGCACAGGCAGGCTTTGCTTCTGAGACAGAGAGAAGAGGCTGGTGTTGCAAGCAAAGGCAATCTGGAGGCAGGTGGTGGTGGGGGGGTGCCGGTGGGAATTAGCACTGTGATTCTGAGATGGACATCTGTTGTTTTTGCTCACCCAGCATCTATTCTGTCTTCTGGGAACAGAAACACTGGCTCCCCTTCAGAGCCTCACCCTCCTTTCTGTCCCTTTCAGTCCACACAGACTGGGATCAGTGCCTGAGAGACCTCGCCAACCAGAGTCACAGTGCCTGGCTCAGGATAATGCAAATAGGTCCTGGGACTTTTGCTGGAACTACTGAGGGGAGGGGAAAAACTCTGTCCGTGGGAATTATTGTGCTGTAAGGACATAGCCTGGGGCTGTTGACTCCTTACAGCTTCCACTCTTGGGAGTCTACCCACAGCAGAAGATAGCCCAGTGCCACCATCCAAGTACCCTCAGCCAGGAGCGCCAGAAAGGAGCATGCTACCAGCACTTGCCAGCTACCGGAACCAGTTTGTCCCTTTTAGGCCTGGACTAGTTTGCTTTTGAAACCAATTTGGCCCAAACCAACACTACCATGAATGAGTATTTATTATGGGCTGGGCATGTGTTAAGGACATTATACAAAGCTTCCTAATTTAACTTTCATAGCAAGATGATTAGGGAAGGTCTAATGATTTCATTTCACAAATGAAGAAACTGAGGCTCAGAGAAGGGGTATGGACTCTGGGATCTCTCATACTAAATGCCTCACTCAGATCTGCTGGGTTACACTGCCCCAGTTGGGCAGCAAACATTTCTGAGCTCTCAAACAGACTACCAGACTGTTCCCAGTTAACTGAGAAAAGGGAATACAAATGACAAGCAGACACTCAACCTCATTCATAACAGAAATGCAAACAGAACTACAGTGAGGTACCCCTGTTAGCTATCAGGCTGGCATAAACAAAGTGGAGGTAGCAGAGGGCAATGACACAGGTTATGTACAGCAGACTGTTTAAATGAGCACAAGACTGGACAAATAAACACCCACCAGGAGAGGCTGGTTAAATAAAGCATAAATGAATGAGAGCACGGTCTGTGGATGTATTTGTAACAGAAAAAGGCAAGGTCCCGAACAATTTGAATTTGTTTAAAAATAAATGAGAGGGCAATGTAGATACAGTTGATTATCATTTACTTGAGCAGTCCATGTGGGGTGAATCTGCCTACTTGCTAAAATTTACTTGTAGCGCCCAAATCAATCCTCGTGGTGCCTTTGCAGTCATTTGCAGATATGTGCACAGCCATGAAAGCTTTGAGTTGCCTGACACACACATTCACAGCTGAGGTCAGATAAGGCAACACTTTGCCTTTGTGTTTCGGCTCTCATCCTGTAAACAAGCATCCTTCCCACCGCCTATTTAGTGCCATGTTTTTCATGTTTTTGAGCTTTTTGTTGATTGCCTTGTTTAAAATGCTCCCAGGTATACTGCTGAAATGCTTGCCTAGTGTCCCCAAGTACAGAAGGCTGTGATGTGCCTCAGAGAAAACACATGTGCCACAAAAAAACAAAACATATTAAAAAAAAAAAAAAGAAAAAAGAAAACACATGTGCTTCATCAGCTTCACTCAGGCATGAATTACAGTATTGATGGCCATGAGTTCAATGTCAATGAATTGAAAATATATATAACTAATGTGTCTTTAAACAGAAACACACATTTAAAAAGGTTATTAACTGATCAGTTGACAAAAACATTGTGTCTAGATGCTCACAGAAACCAAACTCCGTATTTCTCCCAGGAGCTGTGGTTCAGTACTTGCTAATTCAGTGTTTGCCATGACTATGGAACAGAAGCACCACGAAAACTGAGAATCAGTTGTATGGATGGATGGATGGATGTTAGCTGTGTATGCGTGCGTGCATGCGTGCGTGCGTGTGTGCGTGTGTGTGTGCGTGTGTGTGTAGGAAGGGTGGGTGCGTATGTGTCTGTCAGTCTACTGGTGTATTCCGAAATGATCTCCTGAAGTTTCTTAAGAAATCGAGAACAGTGGTGACTTCTGGGAAGAGAATTTGTGGCTTGCAAAGATAAGAGGGAAACTTTTCACTATATATGCTTGTGTATCTTTTCAATTTTAGACCAAATCAATGTATTTCCTATTGAAATGTGAATATGAAATGAAAACATAACCAAGAACTTTTGCCTGCCTTCCATGCACACCCCCACAGACTGCCTCATGTGTCCCCCTGACTTGATTGTACTGCAGTGAGGAAAAGGGGTGGTGCCCATCACCCGCACAGCACTCATCTGTCTGTCTGTGCTGATGACAACGTATTAGGAAGGGAGAGTTTCATGGCAGTAGGAGCCACAGCGGGGCTGAGCTGCCAGTCATGACTCACACCCTGGCTGGCTTGCTGGCTCACCTGGGTGCTCTCGTCATGGAAGCCCTCGAGGAAGCTCTCCAGCAGCTCATCTGCATTGTCGATCCGCTCCGCGTACTCGCCCACGATCCAGATCATGGCAGCCCGAGCCTCAGGCTCATCCAGCGAGTCCAGGTTCTCACACAGCGTGGCAATCACACTCTCATACCTGGGAGACCAGGGCACAGCCAGTATGTGAGCCCTGAAGGAGAAGAGGCAACCCGGGGAAGACAGGCAGGGGGCAGGATGAAAGGGGAACCGCCTCATAAGACCCCAAGGTGGTGGGTAAAGGAGGTCTGAGTTTCATTGGTCATATATTAGCTCTTATTTTGGCCTGGGGAGCAGAGGATGGGCAGTGTGGGTGAAATAAGAAAAAACAAAGTGTTTCTTTTGAGAATGCTGCTTGTGGCAGAGAAGTAAGGAAGAGCAGTGAGACAACTCCTTCCTTTTCCGCCCTGCCATCCTGGTCCCCAGGCAGAGGCAGATGCCCTCTCCTTGGGAGGGTAGGCACGCACTTGTTGGGGTACTTGCGGAAGATGTCCTTGATGACCACAATGGCCTCCTGGACCACGTAGTTGACCTTGGTCTGGATGAGGTCGAGCAGCGTGCTCACACAGCGCTCCGCGGATTGCTGCATGGGAAGAGGAGAACGTGGGCCAGGTCCCCGCACCCCATTTCCAACAGAGCCTCTGATGACCACGCCTTGGCCGAGGGCTCCAAGTCACTCCTCCAGCACCTTCCTCGTCATAGCGGGAAAACAGGAAAACCCTCTCCCCAGGAAGCAGGGGAGAACCAGTACCAAATCATGGCCCTAGGATGGCCGGGACATGGGGAATGAAACTGAGGAGAAGCCAGAGGCAGAGCCTCTGACAGCAAGGTGACTACCTGCAGTCCAATCCCACCTCTCTTTTTACTTGTTTCAGAAAGGGGACTCCTGTGACCTAAACACTCACAGAAGCTCTGACTGGTTCTGCCTTTATTTTCACATGCTGCTGCTCTCATGCTCTGAGGGAGATTTCTCAGGATGGCATCACAGGCTCCAAGGCGAGCATGCCTCAAGGGCATAGGTGGGGGCTGACCGGCTATCCCAGGAGCCTCTAGTCACCAGTGGACCCATTTAAGGAGAATCTGGCTTAGTGGTCAAGGAACATCTCCACAGACAGAGAAAGGAAGGGGATAAAATGCCAGGACGTTGGGACGCTTGGACACAGAGGCACGTGGGCAGCTGAATGATGACAGTATTTGCCAAAAAATGTTCAACAGGCAGGGCCCTTGCCCAGAGCTCTGTGAAGTGAATGCTAAGTCTACCAAGACAACCACCAGCTTGTGGCTGCCCCAGCATCTTAGCAAATGCTGCAGGAAAACCCTGATTATGACGGGTTAATTTGATCTGCAGCAACTCAAAGGCCTAAAGGATAATACAGAGTGAGAAGGAACCCCACCAGATCTGCACAATGCTCGCCATGGGGGCTGCAGTCGTAAGCCTCAGGCCTTTCCAGGCCACAAGCAAGCTGGTAGATTCTGCTTGAATCAGACTGGTTTCCTGGTTTCGGCTCCCTTTCCCTTCTCCAGCCAAGGACAGAGTCCCAGGTCCTCACCTCCACCTTGATGGCACAGCGGCCAATGGCTCGCACAGCCTTCCGTACAAAGTCCACATCCACTTCCGTTGCGTACTCTTTCAGCTCCGCCAACACCTGTGGCCCAAACAGAAAAGATGGGGTTGGGGGGGACCTGATGGGGCAATCTGCTGGAACACTCCTGGGCAGTGAATATACACAGACTCCCAAGGAGGATGGGATTCTGCCTCCTGCTCCAACTGGAAGGCCCAAGGGAGGGAGAGAGCTGGCAGGTGCCTGAAAAGGAAAGCAGGGCTGGACAACCTTATTTTGGGTTGATGTAGCTGACATATCCAATACCACTTTGTAAGGGATGACAGATAATAGAGAGAAACTTTTTTTTCCCTTTGAGACAGAGTTTTGCTCTTGTTGCCCAGGCTGGAGTGCAATGGTGCGATCTCGGCTCACCGCAACCTCCGCCTCCTAGGTTTCAACTGATTCTCCTGCCTCAGTCTCCCGAGTAGCTGGGATTACAGGCATTCACCACCAGGCCCAGCTAATTTTGTACTTTTAGTAGAGAAGAGGCTTCTCCATGTTGGTCAGGTTGGTCTCAAACTCCTAACCTCAGGAGATCTGCCAACTTCGGACTCCTGAAGTGCTGGGATTACAGGCGTGAGCCACCACACCTGGCCGAGAAACAGTCTTTAGTAACAAAAACATCAGTTCTTTTACTTGCTTATGGAGTCCCATGTCCCATACTAAACTCTTTGTAAGATAAACTGTTCATGGTGAGACTGGTCAGCTGGCCTAGAGCCCACAGTTTGGTGCTGGTGGAACTGTCTCACACCAAGCCCGTGCCCTAATCATCACATGTTGCTAACCTGGGCGATGTTGGCCTGGGAGGCCAGGCGGATCATGATGTCCAGCTTCTCCAGCTTCACGTAGATAGGGTCATTGTACTTCACGAAGAACACCTTCATCTCATGCTTCAAGATCTCAGGCCTGGTCGTGGGGCAGGATGCCCGGAGAGCAAAAAAAAAGGCGTAAGCCCCGTGAGAAACCCCCCTCCACATTTGCTGGGACATTTCTGGTATCTGAGGTGGAGTCTGATGTTTGTGAAAGCAGAGTCACTGCCATGGCTCCTGGGCAGAGGGCTCACCTCACCAACCGGCCTGAGCAAGGCTCTGACTGGCCCCTGTGTGCCTGAGCACATCGCCGGAGGGGACAGGAAGCACAGCAAGAGACTCCAGAGGCAGCAGGTCCCACGGGACGGGCTTGGGCATCAGACACATCTCAGTCCCAGTCACGGCCTGTGAACTCAGGCCTGTTTCCTCACCCATGAAATGAGAATGACACTGGACAGAAACACATTACCACTGCAGGTCTGGGACTGCTAGCCTCAGAAAGCCTGGCATGTGGCAACTTGGATTTTGGAAGTGTTCTCACCATTCCCTGAATGATAAACGTATTCAACTGTGCCTAGACAATTATACAAAGAATACAGTTTATGCTGAACACGTGCTTCCCTCCTGGGAGTCTGGGCTTTGGGTAGGTGCCCCCAATAACAAGCTTGGGTGCCAAGTCTCAAATAGGCTTCCCTGGGCAGAAACACTGCACACATGATGCCACATTTTGCTGGGGGAGGAGTGTGCTCTGTGTGGCTCCCCATGGCAAGGAGCAGGTACAAGGAGGTCTCTCATAGAATCCTTCAGACTCCACCTGTGTCCTCCCCTATGACGCAGCCGGGCAGCCCTGCTCTGCTGCTGATAGATCTTTGCTGTGGGTACAGCTATATGCTGAGTCCTGGCTGGGCGTGGTGGCTTGCACCTGTCATCCCAGCACTTTGGGAGACTGAGGCAGGAGGATCGCTTGAGCCAAGGAGTTCAAGACCAGCCTGGGCAACACAGCAAGACCCTGTCTCAAAAAGAAAAAATATATTTAAAAACTATAGGCTGAGTTCTGTGAGTACTGCTAGTGAATCTTGAGCACGAGGGTGGTCTTGGGACCCCAACACGGACAGGGACCTCATTGGCCTGCTATGAGAGTGAGATGCGAAGCATCTAGCATGATCGATGCCTGCCTCAGAGAAGCATCGCTAGGCAGGAGCTGTCGCGAGCTGAGCCCTTTCACATGTGTCATTGTTCCTCCCTCAAAGGCTCCATCCTTCTGCCTTCCGCCAGTATCACCCACCACATTTTTCCTGGACAAAGAAACTTCAGAGAGAATGAGAGGCTGGCACCAGGTCACATGGCCAATGTCAGCAAGGACGGCAGTGGGACGAGAATCACCTGCCTCTGACTCCTACTCGTATGCCCTTCCAGAACAGAAAGGAGGAAGGAAAAGATATGAGGACAGACAGTGAGGAAGGGGAAAGACAGGACAGAGAGAAAGGAGGAAACAGTACTCTGTGCTGCTGTGTACACTGCAGCGAGTTCCTGGCCAAGCAAGGAGCCTTTGTCGTGCCCCACGGGAGAGGCAAGACCCCGAGGTGGGTAGCAGGAAGATGATTTCTGCAATTAGGACTTGGCAAAAGCTGCCCAGCCACATCTCAAGACCAGGGCAGGGCATGTCTCAGTGACACAGACAACTTCTTAAGAGATTTACCATGTTAAATATAGCACAGGAAACCCTGCATGCTGATCTGCTCTACTCGTCACTACCCCGCATTAAATCCGTGACTCAAGGGCACTGGCGTATAAAGACCCACACTGCAACCGGGAAGCCCTAGTTTCATTTTAAGAACTCAGAAGGCTTTCCCATCTTTACCTCCCTAGTATCCCAATTCAACCAGAATCTCTAGTCCCCCGGAGAGTACTAAGGCCCAGAATGATGCTACGACCAGGAGGATGTGCTATCTTCTAAGAGAAAATAACTAATGAGGCTCCAGTTCTCTGTGTAGCCCCACTCCCAGCCACAGGGCCTGCCGTAACATACAAATCATCAATAGTTGCTACAGTCAAGTCCCCACTGCCGACTGAGCCATGTGACCAAGAGCTGCGAGGAAAACTCAAGGTCAATCCCACTCCCCAGAGCTGCAGGGCTCTGTCACTCAGAGCCACTTCAGAGGACGAAGGGGATCATGCCATGAACCCCTCAGACCCAGCCTCGCTCAATGGTTTTTCTGCTCTCGCCTACCCTCCATTACCAGACTGCGTGCCCTGGGTGCAGCGGCTCACTGCTGCAGCCATTCTCACGGGAGGAGGGAAGCGGGCGGCACAGCATTCGGAGTGAGCCCGATGCTCCCCTCTCCCAGGCCTCGACGTTGATGTAAAGTCCAACAGTTCCTCAACTTCCTGCAGTCCTCCAACCTCAGAGAGTTTGACTAGAGCTACGGACCCTGTCCCCAAAGAAATGCACACAGATACACGAAATCTGACAGCCTATTTCAGGACGGCTCCGTGGACTGTGAACCCAATATCTAGTTTAAGCACCAAGCTGGTCTTTACACAGCCTGCTTCCTAGTCAGGTTAAGCCAGGGCTTCTCAGCCTCAGCACTGCTGACATTGCGGGCTGGACAGTTATCGTGAGGGGCTATTCTGTGCACTGTAGGATGCTGACCGGCACTCCTAGCCTCTGCCACTAGAAGCCAGTAGCATGCCCCCCAGCTGGGAAAACCAAAGTATCTCCAGACACTGCCAAATGTCCCTCAGGGGGCAAAGTTGCCCCTTTGGTTAAGCTATTCTGGGTTAAGCTATTTGAGACTTCCTTCGTGGTGACAGGTCAGTTTCCTTTGAGAGCCCCCATTCCCAGCAGAAGAGGCTCCCCGAGGGGTACGCATGGCACTTGTGTGTAGTGACCTCAGTACCTTTTCTGCACGATGAGATTGATGTTGCGCAGAGCCACGTACTGCAGCTCCGGCTCGGCCGACAGCAGTGTGACCAGGGGTGGGGCCAGCTTCTTGAGAAGTGTGCCATAGTAGTCCAGGTCCTTGGACAACATCTCCATGAACTTCATCAGCACCTTCACAGCAGAGAGCACCACAGCAGAGTTGGCGTGGGAGAGCCTGGGTGTGACCCGCTCACAGATGCTGGGGTCCATCCGTTCCAATGGGGCAAACAGGAAAGACAAAGGGAAACATCCCGCTTTTAGTTATCAAACCAGCATGCCCAGGCCGGGCGCAATAGCTCACGCCTGTAATCCTAGCACTTTGGGAGGCCGAGGCAAGTGGATCACTTGAGGTCAGGAGTTTGAGATCAGCATGGGCAATATGGTGAAACCCTGTCTTTACCAAAACATATACAAATTAGCCAGGCATGGTGGTGAGCACCTGTAGTCCCAGCTATTCAGGAGGCTGACACATGAGAATTGCTTGAACCCAGGAGATGGAGATTGCAGTGAGCCGAGATCACGCCACTGCACTCCAGCCTGGGCAACAGAGTAAGACGCTGTCTCAAAAAAAGCATGTCCAGCCTGAGCAAAATCGTGAGACCCTTCTCTACTAAAAGTAATTTTACACACTAGCTGGGTATAGTGGTGCACACCTGTGGTCCCAGTTACTCGGGAGGCAGAGGCAAGATTGCTTTGGGGAGTTCGAGGCTGCAGTGAGCTATGATTGTGCCACTGCACTCCAGCCTGGGCAACAGAGTAAGACGCTGTCTCAAAAAAAGCACGTCCAGCCTGAGCAAAATCGTGAGACCCTTCTCTACTAAAAGTAATTTTACACAGAGGCAAGATTGCTTTGAGGAGTTCAAGGCTGCAGTGAGCTATGATTGTGCCACTGCACTCCTGCCTGGGTGACAGAGTGAGACCCTGTCTTAAACAAACAAACATGTTTTTTGTAGGAGAAAGATCTAAATCCTGGTTCTGCTGCCTGCTAACTAACCGCCAGCAGGTTCAAATCACTCTGGGCCTCAGTTTCCTCATCTAGAGAATCAAGATAATGATGCCTACTTCACAGGATTGCTAGGGGCTTAATGAGATAATACATGTAAAGAACAAGGCCGGGGGAGACTGCGGTGGATGGACTGCTTGAGCCCAGGAGTTTGAAACCAGCCTGGGCAACACGGTGAAATCCTGTCTCTAGAAAAAATATAAAATTAACTGGGCATGTTGGCACACATCTGTAGTCCTAGCTACTTGGGAGAATTAACTGAACCCAGGAGGTTGAGGCTGCAGCTCCAGCCTGGGGGACGGAGACCCTGCTTAAAAAAAAAAAAAAAAAAAAAAGAATAAGCACAGTGCTGGCATGTAGTACATACTGTATAGATGTCAATCCCCACTTCATTCCCTTTACCTCTCTAAGCTGGAGAGCCCTCATCTGGAAGATGCAGGATGATGAAAGTTGCACTGAAGACTCTGTAATGTATGGAAAGCACCCGGCAGAGCCCCAGACACCCAGTGAGAATTCAGTGAGCAGTGGCTCTCGTGCTACCCATCTCTTGAACTCAACGGAGGTGCCCTGGTCTTCTGTGAACTCCCAGGCCAAGCCGTGCCTGTGCCCACAGCAGGCACTGAGCTGACTGCCCCAGGTAACTCTCCTGCCTGCCTGGCTCTGGAGAGGTGGGAAGCAGGCAGGCTTCCCTTCAGTGTGTCTGAGGGTGGGCTGTGGGGCATGGCCCTAGAGAGGGGCCCACTAAGGCCTGAGGACCAGTGCCTGGTTGGAGCCCCTGAGGACCAGGGTCCTCAGGCTGGCCTGGCAAGCAAGGGGCAGCTTGCTCACCTCTGGGCCTCACGGTCGTCCTTGGGTGTATAGTTGGCCAGGCAATCCAGGATGAAGATCTGGCCCCACTCGGTGCACTCATTCAGGGCTGTCAGCAGCTTGTTGATGGACTGTGGGTTCAGATCAAGCAGATTGCTGCTGGGGTGAGACTCCGCGATTTCTGAGAGTGCTGCTGCTGCATTGGCCACCACCTGGTTGAGAGGGTGAAAGGGGCAGAGGCTTGGGGGTGCTGCTCACAGGCCAGGGGGCAGTGGGGCTAATGATGCGGGCTGGTCAGAGGTCAAATATACTGAAAAGAATATGACCTGATGGGCAGCATCTGGAGCTGCAACAAGACCCATTCCAAGCATTCACCCTGCTGACTCCTCTGCAACCTGGCACAAAAGCAAGTGCCTGCCATTTAGGAAAAAAAAAAATGCCTAGCTCCAAGTGCCTAGCCCTAGAAAGCATTCCCACCTTCCTATCACAGCACCCCTGTGTACCAGCAATAGCAGCTCACTTCAATGCTTGTCAGCTGTGCCTCTTAGAGCTAAGGGATTCCTGCGGAGTTCCTCGAGGCTACTGGCAGTGGATAGGGGCTGGAGAAGAGGGGCTTGCCAGGTGAGGCTCCAGGCCCTCAATTCATTTCCACTAGAGCAGCTGTTTTTCCTCAGCCTCCCAAGCAGCTGGGATTGATTACAGGCATGCCCCACCATGCCCAGTTAATTTTTGTATTTTTAGTAGAGATGGGGTTTCACCATGTTGGCCAGGCTCATCTCAGACTCCTGACCTCAAGTGATCCTCCTGCCTTGGCCTCCCAAAGTGCTGGGATTACAGGCGTGAACCACCACGCCCCGCCTGTTTCTTGTTGTTGTTGTTCTTGTTGAGACAGAGTCTCACTCTGTTGCCCAGGCTACAGTGCAGTGATACAATCTCAGCTCACTGCAACCTCTGCCTCCCAGGCTCAAGCAATCCTCCTGCCTCAGCCTCCTGAGTAGCTGGAATTATAGGCATGTGCCACCACACCCAGCTAATTTTTGTATTTTTAGTTAAGGTGGAGTTTTGCCTTGTTGGCCAGGCTGGTCTCCAACTCCTGACCTCAGGTGATCCGCCCACCTCGGCCTCCCAAAGTGCTGGGATTACAGGTGTGAGCCCCTACACCTGGCCTTAGGCAGCTGTTTTTAAGTTTATTCTGCTTTGTTTCTGACTTCTCCCTGTGGCCCGTCCAGGGCTCCAGTGCCCATCCCTGTACTGGTCGCTCAGTGCTGTGTGGCAGTGCTCAGTGTTTCTGCTCAGAGTGGGATGGCTGGGTTTGTGCATTCATTTTATTTTTCCACTTTTTTTTTGTTTGTTTTACCACTACTGTTCCAGCATGTGCATTCATTTTAAACAGGCCCTGGAAAACTGCCCTCCAAACTGCTGTCGCCACCATGGGTAAGAAGACTGTAGGGTTCCATATCCTGCTACATCTGGATGTCCCGTCTTCCAGGCTATGCTACTTCAAGGGTGACCCTCTACAACCCAGCAAAGATGGGAGGGAAGGGAAAAGCACCCCACATGCAGCACTGGTCTTGGTGAGAGGACAGCAACAGTAACAGTGACTAGAAGGGGAGGGAGGGCACTAGTATTGATCACACACCATGTGCCAGGCCATGCCAGGGACGTCACCTTCACAGCACTCCTGCCCACTATATAGGATTAGATCCATCTCACTGATGAAGGAGACAGCCCTGGAAGCCTAGGCAGTGCTCCAGGTTGTGCAGCTAGTGGTGAGAATAAGGGAATCCAGGTCCAGCTCCCTCCAAAGAGGCTGCCTGAACCACCACAGGCACAAGAACAACTGGCACCCCAGCCAGGCTCTCACTTCTACGTACTCAGGACAGCCTGGTGAAGGGTCAAGCCAATGTCTTCCCAAGCAACCCAGGAGGCGGTGGAGGAGGCACGGTGGGTGGCAGTGGCTTACCATGGGGTTAGAGTCAGAGATGAGGTCTTTAAGGGTGTCCAGGAAGCCCTGGTCCTCCACCAGCTGGGCATTGATATCGTGAAGCTTGGCCACGCACACAGCTGCTGTCTTGCGCACATATGGATCCTCATCCTTCAGGCACTTCCGGAGTGGCTCACACAGGTACTCCGTGATCTTGTCAACGCGGATGCAGCCCATGGTCCGCACCGCCAGGGCTCGGATGAGGGGGTTGGGGTCCTCACAGTCCTGAGGGGAACCGGCCATCGGCCAGGGCAGGGGTGGGATGAGCCACCTGTGGCTTCGTATTCTCCCTGGCCTCCAGCTCTGAGCCCTGCTGGGCTGAGCAACATCAGATGGCTGCTGTGGATCTCTACTAACTGCAGCCAACAGCAGCGGAAGTAAATGCTATGTAACCAGCACCCATGCCAGCTCTGCACGTCATCTCCTCTTATCCTCACAGTGGAAATACAATACTGGTCCCATTTTACAGATGATGAAACTGACGCTTTCAGGAAGGCTGGGAGCTCATCCGAAGCCACAGAGCAGAGCCGTGATTCAAACTCACATCCACCTAACATCACAGCCCTCGATTTTTCCTCTGGCCACAGAAGCCTCATTTCCCCATATCTGAGCGTGGACAGGACTCAGAGGACCTAAGGTTCTAAAGGTATACAGATTCACAGGTAGTAAACATTAGGAGAAAATGAAATTAAAATAAAGGTGCACAGAGCTGACAAATCAACCTGAAGGACAGAAAATGGAGTAAGCAGCAGTCTAGAAGGGGAACAGAGAAGCTCTCAGACACCTGCTGATTCCTGCCCTGGCAAAGCATGCACAGCAGGGCCCAATCGGGGTGGTGAGGGGATCGACAGGCCTTGCAGGACCTCACACAGGATGAGTTAGGCAGCGGCCTTGGCATCTGGTTTTCTGGGAAGTGGGAGCCCTCTGCTGGAGGAAGAGGCCTGCAGGCTGGGTGGGCGCAGGCAGTCCAAAGGTCTGGATTCCATCCAGCGCCACGGGGCCCCACCCCAAAGAGACTGAGGGGAGACAGAGCCTTAAGCACCCCATACCCCCATGCCCACCAAGCTCCCGCTCACCTTCACAAAGGTGTTGACGGCCATAATGGCCATGTCAGGCTGACTCTTGGCATAATTCATCAGGTAGAGGTATACCAGCTTCTTCAGCTCCAGGTTGTCCGTCTGCATGCAGTTCACCACATCAGGGAAGAGGGCACTGAAAGGTCAAAATGGTTTCAGCAAGGGAAAGTCTGAAGAAAGAGGAAGATTTTCAGGTTGCTAACTAGTGGGTGGGAGGACAGTGGGCAGGAGAGAAAGGAGAGACACACTAGGTGACTTCCTGGTAAAAAAGGGAGGGTATCACATGTGCTGTTAACAATTAACACCTATTGCTGGGCGCGGTGGCTCAAGCCTGTAATCCCAGCACTTTGGGGGGCCGAGGCGGGTGGATCACGAGGTCAAGAGATCGAGACCATCCTGGTCAACATGGTGAAACCCCGTCTCTACTNAAATTAAAATAAAGGTGCACAGAGCTGACAAATCAACCTGAAGGACAGAAAATGGAGTAAGCAGCAGTCTAGAAGGGGAACAGAGAAGCTCTCAGACACCTGCTGATTCCTGCCCTGGCAAAGCATGCACAGCAGGGCCCAATCGGGGTGGTGAGGGGATCGACAGGCCTTGCAGGACCTCACACAGGATGAGTTAGGCAGCGGCCTTGGCATCTGGTTCTCTGGGAAGTGGGAGCCCTCTGCTGGAGGAAGAGGCCTGCAGGCTGGGTGGGCGCGGGCAGTCCAAAGGTCTGGATTCCATCCAGCGCCACAGGGCCCCACCCCAAAGAGACTGAGGGGAGACAGAGCCTTAAGCACCCCATTCCCCTATACCCCCATGCCCACCAAGCTCCCGCTCACCTTCACAAAGGTGTTGACAGCCATCATGGCCATGTCAGGCTGACTCTTGGCACAATTCATCAGGTGGAGGTACACCAGATACCTCTTCAGCTCCAGGTTGTCCATCAGCCCCAGGCTATCCATCTTCCAGGGCACACGGAGGGGCTGAAAAAAGGAAGAAGATTTTCAGGCTGCTAACTAGTGGGTGGGAGGACAGTGGGTAGGAGAGAAAGGAGAGACGCACTGGACGACTTTCTGGTAAAAGGGAGGGTATCAGATGTGCCGTTATCAACCAACACTTATTGGTAGAAAATCCCAAACGGTCATTTTAAAAGCAGAAAAAGGGCCAGGCACAGTGGCTCACGCCTTGTAATTCCAGCACTTTGGGAGGCCGAGGTGGGCAGATCACAAGATCAAGAGTTTGAGACCAGCCTGGCCAATATGGTGAAACCCCATCTTTACTAAAAACAAAAAAAAAGAAAAGAAAAGAAACTCAGCTGGGCGAGGTGGCGGGCACCTCAGCTACTCGGGAGGCTGAGGCAGGGGCATCGCTTAACCCAGTAGGCGGAGGTTGCAGTGAGCTGAGATCACACTACTGCACTCCAGCCCGGGTGACAGAGCAAGACTCTGCCTCAAAAATAAATGAATAAACATAAAAGTAGAAAAAGTCCTTAGTTGTTTTCAGACAGTTCAAACATGAATTCTGAAGCCCGTCAAACCCAGCACTGCCTCTTGCTAGCTGTATGACAGAGAAATTCCTTTGTCACCTGCCCCCTTGCCCTGACTCTCAATTTCCTCACTTCCAAGCAAGGTGCAACAGAAACTCACTTCACAGGGCCTTTATGATAACTGAATGAGAGAACATACTTAGGTTTCTGGTCCTTGTTATTTGGGAGGTGCTAAGTAAATGAAAATGACCCTTTCTCCCTCTCTGATACTTAACGTGGCCCCTTATGTTAGGCTGCTGGTTCTGGAGGGTTGCATGGAAGTAGGATGGCTCACGCTGCTTTCACCGCAAGTTCTGACACCCACTAAGAACAAGCACAGCATGCCTGGAGCACACACCACACACCAGGCTTGGTGCTAAGAGCTTTACATACTTGATCTCATTTAACTGCCCTTAGAAGTCAGGGGATGATCCCCATTTCACAGAATACTGAGCTTCATAAATGTCTCCAGAGCCAGGCTCCTGGAGGAGGAACAAGGGTCTGTGCTCATGACCACTGGGTGGAACCCTTCTCAACGTGGCACCCACGGCCCCAGAGTCACAGGCCTTAAGATATGAAATTTGGTTAGAGAGCAATTTTCTATCTTGGAATCATCAGATCCCCTCTCAATTCTTAGGTGTTTACAGGCAACAACGTGTCAACACAGAGACTTAAGAGGTCAAAGTGAACTTCCTGAACCCCAACAAGCAGGAGTCCTGCCAAAGCCAAAATTGATGTATCACCTTGGAAGATGACGCACCAGGAAGAATGGGGAAGAGGAAGGAGGAAAAACTGCTGATGAGAACGATTCGCTCTTTGGGGCCTGTCATATCAACAAAGCCAGCTCTTTTGAGACGGAAGAACAAAGATGTTTCTCCTCTGTGAGGAGGTGACAGTGGTGTTCTGGGTGAAGGAGAGCGGCTTTGTCCTGGAAGAAATCTGACTTGGAAGGAGGCCCAGGTGTCCAGCGGGCGCCTGCTCCCTTTGCGGCTCTGGCTTCCAAAGGGATCTCTGCAGAGCTGCTTTCCGGAGCTGCTGGCAGCAGGTCCTTGCTGGTGGGGGATCCATGGGGAGGTCTGGAGTAGTGGGAGCCTATCTTGGGACCTGGACAGGAGCTGCTCCACATCAGCACCCAGGCTATGAGGCACAGGGCTGCGTACCATGAGGGCATAGGTGAAAGCCGCCTGGATTTGGATTTCAGAAGAACTGGGCTTGAGTCCTAGTTCTGCCATAAACCATGTGACTCTTAGGCAGTCGCTTTATGTTTTTATTTCTTTGGCAGTAAAACCATCATTACCTACAATATGGGAATTGTAAGGAACTACTAAGAAAACAAATCTGAAAATGTTCTGTGCAGACTCTCAAATACTGTGTAAATATTAAGCTGTTATAAAATCCAGTCCCTGCCTTTGAGATTTTACAATCTGGTGAGCAGGTAAACACAAGTACACATAAGAGAACAGTCTCCATTTAGTGCTGGGTGATGGGAACCGAGAGCAAATGCTTTGAGTTTGAGGTAGTGGGCTGGCAACAGGCAAAGGCAGACCTTGATAGGGTTTTTAAAGATGGGAAGACAAGCTGGGTCACTGGGCACTCCCACAGGGGAGGCATGAGCCAAGGTGCAGCAGCCATTCTACACAAGACCTGCTCCAGCCATCAGGTGCAACAGAGGTTGCAAACAGGTGACAAATTAGAGAAATCCAATCTGGCACGTGTGTTTTTACTTGCACCACACAGTGTTGGTTTAATATCATCTGGCCACTTAAGGCAGGGAGATTTAAAATGAAAAATCCAGCTTTCCCATTTTTATTTATTTAATTTTTTTTGAGACGGCATCTCACTCTGTTGCCCAGGCTAGAGTGCAGTGACACAATCTCAGCTCACTGCAACCTCTGCCTCCCAGGTTCAAGCGATTCTCCTGTCTCAGCCTCCTGAGTAACTGAGATTACAGGCGCACACCACCACGCCTGGCTGATTTTTGTATTTTTAGTAGAGACAGCATTTCACCATAATGGCCCAGCTGGTCTTGAACTCCTGACCTCGTGATCCACCCACTTTGGCCTCCCAAAGTGCTAGGATTACAGGCATGAGGCACTGCACCCAGCCCAGATTTCCCATTCTTTTTAAAAACCAGAAGACCTGGCTGGGTCCTCTTCCCCAGCGAGTAGTGATCCTCTGGAGTTTCTGAGAAGGTCCATGCCATACCCACTCTATCACCTGCTGCCTTTCCCACCTATTCTAGTTAACTCACTCCATCACCACCTGACCTGTCAGCATCTGGGCTCATGATTCCTGTGTAAACAAAACCTTCTATTGGGGAAAAAAGTTTTATGAAGGGAGCTGTATGAGGGGAGACATGGCTCCCTAGACAACCTAAAGGAGAGACTGAAGTGGACCCAAGCTATAAACGCTCCCCTGTCAGCCAGCTTCCCGCTGCCACCAGGCCTACTCCTGCATACCTGACATCTTTGCCCACGGTCATCGATGCAATCACTTTCTTCACTGCCTCCTTCTTCTTCTCCTTCTTGTCACTGTTGAGCTCTGCCTTCAGCTTGAAGATTTCCCCTAAGGAAAGGAGGCAAGCATGAGTGATCCCTCCCTACCCTGCCAGGGGATGATTCCCTGTACTTAAATTCCAAAAGAACTGGAGGGAGGCATGTCAGACATCTTATGCCGTGGGCTGAGGGCAGCTTCAGGCCCCTGGCCTCAGGTGGGACAGGCAACAGTGAGGGACGACTGTTAGGATAGAAATTAACAAGATGGAAGCTTGCAGGCCTGGCACAGTGGCTCACACTTGCAATCCCAGCACTTTAAGAGGCTGAGGATCACTTGAGCCCAGGAGTTTGAGATTAGCC